CCTCTGTCCTAGCATGTGCCTGCGTACAGGAGGTGCTTGTCGAATGACCGAGTGAGTTGATTCCAACAACCCTGCTTGGTAAGGAGTATTGATCGCATTTCACAGATGACAGTCCTTGGGCCCAGAGAGGGCAAGCTACTTAGCCAAGGTTACCCAGCAGCACTGGGGATGTGTCAGACTTCAAATCCCAGACTCTTCCCTCTATCTATGGCTGACTTGTCTGCTCTTGAAGTGGCACAGGGTAAATGAACTAGGAGCGCAAAGACACGGATTGAGTCCCAGCTGGACCAAACCGTGGCCTTGAGCAAGCGACTGTGAACAGAAGCTGTAGACGACCAGAGCTTACACAATTTGCTCTGTCTGCTTCATGAGCTTGTTGGTGGAAGATCTTGGTCAACAGAAAAGCACTTCCGAGCTTCGCCCGGAAGTCGGGACTGCAGGGTGATGAGGTGGGAATGTGACGCTTCTAGGGTGAGTCAGGCTTGAGTTGGAATCCTCGGTTCTCTCCTTCTTTGCTGTGTGACCTCAGGAAATCTACTCACCCTCTCTGGGCTGCCTTTGCTTGCTGTGGATGCACGTGTCGTGCATGCAGTTTTGTGATGGTTAAACATGTTGATGTTGGGGAGGGGCTTGGCACAGCCACGAAGGTGCTCATCAGATCAGGGCTGTTCTCTTTATTCAGTGGAGAAAACATTTTGAAGCTGTTTATCCCCAAAAACTTCATCCTTAAAAATACCCTCATAACCCAGATACAACCTCCCTCTCACTCCGGGCACCTCGCTGCTAGAATGTGACCATCCTTTTGCCTCGTGAGTCACCCCACTTCAGCCTCGCCTCCCGTAACGCTGCTGGAACCGCATGCCGGGTTCTTCCTCAGGCTTCTGGGAGGATGGCGTGTCTCCTGACACCCAGCTCGGCTCGTGAACTCATTAGCGTGGGTGTCAGGGAAGCCGTCCTCGCCGAGCCCTGCAGCTCCCACGCTGAGATTTCAGGGAAGGCGGCTCCGCAGGGAGGGAGGCCGCTTAACCAGTCGCCGCGGCCCTGGGGGTCTTCGGAGACTGTGGTTCATTAGTGAAGCGCCTTTTTTTTCTTTCTTTTTTTTAAAAATGATATCTCCACCTTTCAGGATTTTTAAATAAGCTTTTAAGTTTAGCTTTTCATCTGTGGGTCTCTGCAGCCTGAATTACTCAAGCTGTTCTGATCGCCCTTACTGTCCCTAGGGAGGGACAGGAGCTGAAGATGTGTCCCAGGCTGCTGGAACGAAGTGGCACAAACAGGGGGCTTAGCACAACAGAGAGGACTGTCTCATAGTTCTGGAGGCTGCAAGTCTGAACTCAAGGGGGCAGCAGTGCCGCGCTCCCTCTGACACCTCTAGGGGAGGACCCTTCCTTGCCTCTTCCTGGCTTCCGGTGGTACCTGGAAGTTCTTGGTGACCCTTGACCTGCAGGTGTAACCTTCCGATCTCTGCCTCTGCCATCAGTGGCATTCTCCCCGTGTCTGTGTCTCCACCTGTGTCCAAACCTCCTTCTTCTTCTAAGGACGCCAGTCACTGGATCAGTGCCCACCCTAATCCAGGGTGACTTCAGCTTAACTTGATTATGTCTGCAAAGACCCTATTTCCAAAAAGGTCACAGCTACAGGTCCTGGGGGTTAGGACTTCAACATCTCTCTTCAGGGGACACGATTCAGCCCCTAACAGGAACCCACCAGTGTGACCTTGGCTCAAAGCTCTGGGAGGGGATGTGGTTGTGCTTAAGGGGTCAGGGCCCTAGGCTCCAATTCCGCTGCGATGCCCCGTACGGGTTTGTACCTGCCAACCCTGCTGAAATCATGGCTGGTGGAAGGGCGCTGGCTTCGGGGACCAAAATCCTAAATTTGAATCCCAGCTCCGCCCACGAAGGATGTTGTGACCTTAATCATATTTCCTTTGGAGTCTCAGTTTCCTTCACACACACACACACACACACACACACACACACACAAACACACACACACATACATGTACTTTCACAAATACATACAATGTACTCAGCAAAATGTGTTACATTGTCACTGAATAACTATTGTTATTATCTGTAACACTGGGCAGTGGTGTCTTATCTCTGAGTTACCCCTCACTTGTATTTTATCCCCAGATTCACTTCAGCTCTGAAATTCTAGGACTCAGATTAAACAGGTAGACGGGAACACAGGGCCATGCCGTCTAAGATTCCCTGTTTTGGGTGAAAATAAAGGGATAAAGTCTCTCCTTTTTTGTGCAGAAGCTTTTAATTCAATGCAATCCCACTTGTCTATTTTTACTTTTGTTGCCTGTGCTTTTGGTGTCATATCCATGAAATCACTGCCAAAACTGATGTCATGAAGCTTTCCCCCTATGTTTTCTTTTAGAAGTTTTACAGTTTCAGGTCTTACGTTTAAGTCTTTAATCGATTTTTAGTTGATTTTTGTGTACTGTGTAAAATAAGTGTCCAATTTCAAAGAGAACAATCCATGAGAGAAATCTCCAATTTGTGGAATGGGAGAAAATATTTGCAAACCGTCTATCTGATAAGAGATTGATTTTCAAAATGTATAAGGAACTCCTACAACTTCATAGCCCAAAAGGAAGTAACCCAATTAAAAATTTGGCAAAGGACTTGAATAGACATTTCTCCAAAGAAGACATACAGACGGCCAGCAGGTACATGAAACATGTTCAACATCACTAATCATCAGGGAAATGCAAATCAAAACCACAATGAGACATCACCTCACACCTGTCAGGATGCCTATCATCAAAAAAAACCCCAAAAGACAACAAGTGTTGGTGAGGACATGGAGAAAAGGGAACCCTTGGTAGGAATGCAAAATGGTGCAGCCACTATGGAAAACAGCATGGAGGTTCCTCAAAAAATTAAAAATAGAACTAGTATATCATCCAGCAATCCTACTTCTGGGTATTTACCCCAAATAATTGAAATCAGGATGTTGCAGAGATATTAGCACTGCCTTGTACATTGAAGCACTATTCATAATAGCCAAGATCTGGGAAAAAAATGTCATTGATGGATGAATGGATGTAGAAAATGTGGTATACACATTCAATGGAATATTATTCAGTCTTAAAAAAGAAGGAAATTCTGACACATGCTACAACATGGATGGACCTTGAGGACATTATGCTAAGTGAAATAAGCCAGTCACAGAAGGACAAACAGTGCATAATCCCAGTTATACGATGTGCCTAGAGTAGTCAAACTCATAGAAGCAGAGAGTGGAATGGTGGTTGCCCCAGCTAGGGGGAAGGGAAGTGGGGAGCTGCTGATCAACAGGCATAAAGTTTCAGTTTAGCAAGATAAATAAGTTCTAGTAATCCCCTGCACAACACTGTGCCTGTAGCTAACAATATTGTATTGCACACTTAAAAATTGTTAAAAGGGTATATTTTATGTTAAGTGTTCTTACCACAATAAAAAAGTCCCCATATTTGAGAAAAGAAAATAGGAACACAGAAATATAAATCCTCCTCTAATAAGGGAACCAGATGTTAAGGGAAATCTAAGATACAAATGATGCAGACCTAAAATTCTTCATTTATTTGGGTAAATCCCTTCTATGGGCTGAGAAAGCTGGATTTATGAACTAGCAAACAGGACCCTGGCCTTGGCTGGCTCGTGAGTAAAATGGAGAGGAAGGTCTCCTGTGAGTTTAAATTTGACCATTCTCTGTTCTCTACCAGATGCAACAAACATCTCCATTTTACTCTCCCAGCAGGAATAAAAGAATTAATGCATGCAACAGGCATAGAATGATGCCTGGCATACTGTAAGTGCTCAATAAGTATCGGCTTATCCAATGGAAAAAACAAGGACTTTCTTACTTTCCAGCTGCCTGCCAACAGTGACTGCGTTTGCGATCTGAATGGCAGGGCTGCCTGTTCGTGTGGCCATCAAAGAGCGTGCAGCCTGTTAGGATCCTTGTGACAAGTCGTAACACACAGCCACTGCAGGAGACCGCCAAGTCCTTAAATGGCACTCCGTGTTAATCTCCATCATCAGATGTAGATGAGTTTACAATAAACTGACTGGGATTCTATTTTGTTTTCTTTTGGTCTAGAGTTAAACTCATGGTTCTCCAACATTTTCAAGACCTCACTGTGGCTCTTGGAGCTCGAGCTGGCTGTCCCCCTAACGGAGCTGCTCACATCACACTCATCTAAAATATTAGTGCTGCTGACAGTTTCTAAACCCCAAGTATTGCATGAGGCTTTGTTCCTTCTGCACAGCCTCCCGTTTTCTTTAAGCAATGGTTCTGAGCCCTGGCTGTGCATCAGAATCCCTGGGGGAGCTTTTAAAAACCCCACTGCTCAGGCTACACGCCAGACCAGACGCAGCAGAACCTCCAGTGAGTTTTCAGACTTCCCAGGTGATTCCCAAGTTCTCTCAAGGCTGGGAGCCCTGGACCACTGCTCTCCAGCCCCTCTGCCTGGTAAGAATAGTAACTCCTCTGTTTTCAGTGTGACCGTGGAAGCCTTTTTTGAGTTTTATGGTAAAGAAACCCAAAAAGTGTTTTTTTAAACTAAGCATTTGCTTTGGTGGGTCCACATAGACGAGGCCAAAGAGAGTTTAAATCCACCCTGTTTAGTGCCCTGTGGACTGCGCAATTTTAGGCGGCTAAAGAGTCAGGCAGGCCTGGGTTTGCCTCTGGCCTCCACTATTAACTGGCTGTGTGATCTGGGGCAATGATGTCACCTCTCTGAACCTCAGTATCCTCTTCTAAAAATGGAGACAATAATGCCATGCTACTTGAGGAAGAAGAGAGGGACATTTGGTATAGTCTTGATAAATTTACTGTAAACATTGTAGCATCCAGGCTCTCAATCTGTGTTAGCTATTGTCACGTGATGGTAATAATAATAACGCTCCCAAAGGGTGGAATGCCTCCTCCCAGTGGCCCAGCCCTCCACCATGAATGAGAGGAAGTGAACCCACATTAGCGTCAAGTCAGGAAACAGGACTCACAGACACAGTGGGGCAGGCGAGAGGTCCAGATGGGAGTGCCAGTCTCACGGCTGTAGCAGGTCAGCAGAGAGCTGCCTTCAAGCACAAAGCCGGGGTTGCAGGTATACTGGATGGTGGTGCCCACCAGCAGGACAGGGTCCGAGATTAGGCGGGTCGAGTGGTCCACTTCTCCAGGGTCGGTGCAGTACATAACTACACGGGACGAAATCAGACCAAGTGGGCTTTAGGGGTCGGCATGAGCACAGGTGTGCTGAGCATTAAAGAATGATCTAGAAAGTTTCCTAACTTAGTTCTTTTCCTGTTTGGAAGATAACGCATCTTGTGCTCATCAAAGGTGGCTGGAGAATAGGCCAGGACGAAAGAGACGTGAATTTAATTCTACTTTTAGGAATTTGCCCAAAGAAATGTTTGTGTCAGGGGTTAAAGACCTATGTACAAGGTTGTACATTGCACCATTATTTGTAATGGTAAAAACAAAAAAGAAATAATGCAAATCCGTTAACAGAGGAAGAGGTAAATCTCATGGAACAGGCATTCCACGAAATCCTGAGCAACCACTAAAGAGAACAAAGTGAGGAGGGGACTTCACAGCTTTCTTTGTGGTTCTTGAATATAATAAAACAAGCATCCATTATTTTTTTAATTAAAAAATCAATATAGATAAAGAAAAACAATAATCCAATTAAAAAAGAATGAAGTAGACAACATGTGTGATATGAAAAGATATCCATATTTCTGAGTCGAAAAAAGCCAATTGCAAGGCAGTTTGTATGAATTGATCCCTGTTATGGCAAAATATCTCTCTGCAGCTATTTGTATATGCACATCGATATATGTCTATATACACAATACATACACACATATGTATGCGTATGTGTAACACACTCATACGTGCAATTGAAACGACATAGAAAACATTGTAGGAGTGGCATCATTTCTCAAGAGTAAGATCAGAAGGATTTGCACTTTCTACCTCCTCATGTTACTACTGCTTGAGTACTGTAAGTAAGCATTCTTCACTTGTGTAATTTTAAGATATGGTTATACACATCTTTTAATGTCAAGAGTGAAGCTTAACCAATGACAGGTGGTAACAGCATCCGGGGACTTCTAGCTGGGAGACCTCATTGCTCTAAGGAGGTTCTGCTGCCCTCACTTAACTAGAAGAGAAGGAACCAAGGCAGTTTGAGGGGTAGAGACCCACACACAGAAGGGGCCCAAGACAAATTTATTCGCTCTAATTTGGGCCTCTTCTTGGCAACAACTGAGGCAGGTGAAAAGACTCTCCCGTAGAGAGCTAGTTTACATTCCCTCCAAGCCTTTAAATAATAATGATGAGGCAGGTCATATTACTGAGTTCATGACGGGTCTCTCTAATTGTCACCCGTGGTGCTTCTCGCTGTCCATTTTTAGTTTCTGTCATGACACACACACACAGACACACACACCACATTCCATTTTGGAACAAATAGATGCATTTATGTAGCTGATTTTGTGGATCTTTAGCAAGTTCTTTCAAGTTTTGCACCATTATAACTAATTTTCTTGGTGTTAGAATGTTTACGATGGATGGAATTAACCATACAGATGGTTACATATGGAATTATATGTAACCCATATACGTTATATGTAACCCCCACACTCCTTCCTCAATACCCTCTTTCTCTGCTCACATTTAATATCTCTTATTGTGCGATCAGTGATTCGAGCCATGCTGACCAGGTCTACCAAAGTGTCACCAAAGATTCCTAGAAAGAGGGCTGCAGACCAGAGCTTTATGTGGCACGTGGGAAGGAAATGGCTAGGGGCAGAGGCCACCTCCAAATTTAGCTACCCCTGCTACTAAGGCATCAGTGTAGAAACCAGAAGCACTTCCTTTTTCTACCCCTTTTCAAGACACTAGACTCAGCTAACACCAGTCATGCCTGGTCCACATTCTTGGGGAGAGCAGGAGCAGAGTGTAGGCAGAAGGAACCAGGAGAATGGGATGGATGCTGTCTGGATGATGTCGGCTACCTACTATAGAGGTTTCCAACTGGGGATCCAAGGGTCAACTTAGGTTTGTTTTGCTTGCTACTACAGGTATTTTAAAGACCTGAATTTGAATGATGTTTTTATACAGGCTACATACATTCCCATTTGCCACAGTCCACACCACTCCCTATTGTCTCACACCCAGTCTATTTCACTCATTTACATTATCTGCCAGGCTTCTGAAGGCATCTGAGTCTGACATCCCTGCCCTATGGCTACAAAATGACATTTGTGACCTGTGCCAATGAGTTGGTGGAGTGGCAGAGAGGCCAGATTCCACATTAAATAACTCCACGGCATCCGTGCCAAAAATACTCCACGGGAGGGATTTACCACACACTGACCTCGGGGAAGAAAACAAGACTACTCTTACTTTTCTCACAAAATGGGGGGTCGCTGCTCCAGCTGAGGTCCCACTGGCAGGTGAGGGTGTCGCTCCCCACGATGTCGTAGCCGGGGTCACACTGGTATGTGATTCTGGCTCCCCTCACAAGCTCCGTGTGGGACGTGGTTTTCCAGCCGTTCTGGATCTCGGGCAAATCTGAGCAGGAGTCGTTCCTTGATACCTCTTTAAAACAAAAACATCATCCTTAGATGGGGAGGTGGCCTTTTTGTTTGGAATCCCATTTACTAATGTCAAAGGAAAGAAAACAGAAGAAAAAGCCTCCAGAAATAAGTGACACAACTTCCGAAATCCCTTAAGCTGCAGGGACTCTTCTATAGTGAGATTTTACAATGTCCTCTTCCCATGGGCCATTGGGCTTACCACACATTCTCTTGGCTTGATAAAGTCAGTTTAGGATTTAGAGCCAGAGTGCATCCTAGATCTGCCACTTCCTGGCAATGTGACTGGGGTGCAGTCACCTCTTCTCTCTGCATCTCAGCCTCTTCACCTTTCATGAGAGCATAATGATGATCACGCCTGCCTCACTGTGGAGCCAGCTTCCAAGACGCTCCCCAGTTACCCTCACCTCCTGGAATCCACATTCTTGTGTAGTCCTCGCCAACACTAAACAGGGCTGCCATGCGTAACCAATGGGCTATTGCAGAAGTGACCACGTGTGACTGCTGAGGCTGGATCATAAAAGGCATGAGGCTCTCTCTCATACCACTTTCTCTGGAGGAAGCAGCTGCCACGTTGTGAGGATGCTCAAGCAGCATCTGGAGGGATCCACGGCGACAGAATCTGAGGCCTCCCACCAACAATTGGCATTGACTTGCCAGCCATGTGAGTGAGCCATTTTGGAAGTGGAGCCTCCAGCCCCAGTCAAACCTTCAGATAATGGCAGTCCTGGCTGACATCCTGGCCTTAACATCATGAGAAATCCCAGGTCAGAACCATCCAGCATTAACTCCTGAATTCCTGACCCATAGATTTTTGGGAGGGAGTAATTTGTTACACAGCAATGGGTAGCTAATACACTCAGCCTCATCCTAAGAATATCCATAAATCCATGGGTTTGATGGATTAGTAATATATATTTTTGTAATACAGATTAAGATAAATACTTAAATACTAAAATAAAAATAATTATTGGTGCATTCTTCAAATCACATTGCATCTCATCAGTGAACATTAACTACACTCCTGAAAATTCTACACACATCTTATTATCACAGAGTCTTTGTCTGGAATAATTCTGTTTTCCTCCTACAAACCTTCGTTACTAAGGTAGCAATCCAAAGCCCACTACTACTATTTTTGCTTCCAAGTGCCCACTGCACAGATTTTGAGAAGAGAGCTAATTATGCCGTATAATTAATTTGCAGCTCTGATGTGCTTCTGGGGGAAGCAAAGCACCTCCATTGTCTGCAGGAAAGTCATTCTCAGAAACAAGCAATGGCTTTTCCCGGGATTTCATCATGATTTTATTTGGGGAAAGGAGATCTCATGGGTGTCTGCAAGAAGAGGAGAGGGAAATGGCTTCTAGAATTGCTTGGCGGGGAGCAGGAGCCTCTATTTTTAGGTCTTTGAAAAATCAGCCAAGCCCTGGATTTGGGACACAGCTGCAAATGCTCAAACTCTGGATGAAAGGGGAGAAATGGGGACAAATACTAGCTGTGTGGTCTGCCTTGTGTCAAATGCTTTGGGCCTGAGAAAGGTTTGCTTGTCTGACTTTTCAGTCTCAGCCCATAGGGGCCACATTCCCCTGGGGCCTCCTGTCTCCTTGGTGGCATTCAGCACATCTGTGACTCCTCAGTTGCTGCCACCATGTAGCAAATGTTGGCCACACTGTTTACTAATTCAGTGGCCTTGGCTCAGTCACTTAGCCTTCCTGTCCTTCAGTTCCCAGACTCCACTCCCTGAGACCCTGATCCAGGATTCTGCATGTTCACCAAATGCCCTCAGTGGAGGTGCTAGAATTATCTGTCCCTAAGGGCCGTTAACTTTGCTAAGAATGAGAAAATGGGCTTAGGAGTAGGAGGGCTTCCCTTCTAGTGCTTTTTCTTTCTTTTAGAAGCCGTGTGACTCCAGTCATGTCAATTAACATCTCTGAGCCTCTTTGTCCTCAATCCTAGAGTGGAAACAAGAATCATGACCTTGTCTATTACAAAGGGCAATGTGAAAGCTAATTAATGTACAGGATATGACAGTAACACTAACGTGAGATATATGGACATCAATTTGTTTGACTAAGATTTTCTGAGCACCTACTATATGCCAGGCATGAGGAATACAGGGATCTAAAGTCATGGTTCCAGTCTCACGGTCAAGATCAGCACCATGGTCCAACTTTTGGGAAAAGAAATATGCAAATGCACTGAATACATGCCACCATTTACCGGTCTCATGCTCATGGCAGACATCACTAATCGATCATAGCAATCTCTTTCTTTGAATCAAGCTGAAATCTCCCAATCCTTCTCAACACAGCACTCCAGGGAGCCACTGTCATTTGGTTGGAGTTGACCTACAATATAGAGCTTGTTTATTATCCCAGGATTAGAGGAATAAACACACAAGTGACCAAATCTCTTTGAAAAACACTGCTCACTCATCTCTGCTTTCTTATTATTTTCCCTGCCACGTACTTGGTCACAGACACTGGCAAAGCCTAAGAAGCAGTGAGGAGAATAAGTCTTTGCTTCTGTCTATGCAAAGGAGAATTATGGGAGGTCAGAACCATGTGACCCAGAGTGTTCCTATGGAAGGTTCTGACAGTAACCATAGCAGATAAACCCTGGCCACCTTCCAGAGCTGGGTGTAGGCCTTGAGATCAGTTTAAAGCTTCAAAATTCTCTAATTGACCACAGAAACCCCTGACCCTTCCATCTGATCCTTCTGCTGAATGGGAATTTCATGTATGTCTGGTTAAATCTAGACCCAGGATAGCAAATATGTCTCCCATGCCATGGCAGACATCACCAATCAATCACGGCATTCTTTCCCACTGCCTTCAGACATGACCTCCTCTGAATTCAGCATGGTCTTCAACACAGGTAGTCACAAGCAATTGACTGGCATCAAAATTAAATACAGAGGCCCACTTGCCTTCCCTGTGAAGTTAACTGTGTGTCTCTTTAACAGAAATACGAACAAATGGAACCTTCTCTCTTTTTGTGTTACCCACATTAGCCAAGCTGGGCATCCCTGGGAAGAATTCTCTGAAATCCTGTGCTTGCCTCTCCCATGGCATCAGCACACAATCCTGACACTGTCTGTTAATGGGACTGCCTCTCCTATTTTCACTAGCTGGCTCAAGGGCAGGGAGAGAGCATTCTATTCATTCCTACGTCCTGGTATCTAGCTCAGGGCCAAGAACATAGGAGGTGTCAAGAGATTTTTGTGAACCAAACTCTCTGGAAAATGGAGATAATGCATTTGAAGATGGAATAATATACATGAGTGCTTGCCAAATACATTGTCACATAAATCTAAGTTTCAGGTTCAACGATCAAGAGCACCTCCTCTTCAAGTTGTTGCCAAAATGAACATTGGCCAGACTTACTGGTTAACCTTGGGCAGCCTTGGATAGAGTCAGATTTCTGCCATCAAGCTGAATGCAGTTTTGGAAGATGGACTCAGGCACCAGAGGAGACCAATGAGCAAAACGATGACCTCATCTTCCAGCGGGGAGGGAGGAGAACTCTAAGGAGATAGACTGAAGCCAAGCCACCAGAAACCCTCCCTCCAAAGGCAGCTGACTCTGGAGGGCACCTGGCCTGGACAGCCAGCACGAGCCGTCCCCTCTGCCCAGGACACTTCCCAGTAAAGAGTGGGGAACCACAAAGAGTAGCATCAATAACCATCTGAAAATACTTAGCAGCACAATTAAGAGTAAAGAGGCCCCCGAGAAACATAAAAAAGAAGATCAACGCTTGTGTTCGCCTCTCTGAGAGGTGCAAGCAGAGCAGGCAGGGATGAGAATCATCCACCAGCTGGAAATAAGAAAGCAAGGGCCTTATTTTTGCATGCAAGAGGCTCCTTTTTTTTTTTTTTTGTGAGGAAGATTAGCCCTGAGCTAACATCTGATGCCAATCCTCCTCTTTTTGCTGAGGAAGATTGGCCCTGGGCTAACATCCGTGCCCATCTTCCTCTACTTGATATGGGACGCCACCACAGCATGGCTTGACAAGCGGTGCATTGGTGCGCACCCGGGATCTGAACCCGGGCCACCAAAGCGGAATGTGCACACTTAACAGCTATGCCACGGGGCCGGCCCCGCAAGAGGCTCCTTGAGACAGCCAGCGGTCCGGGGAGTGGCTTGAGTTTTAAAGGCAGGAGGTGGTACAGAGAGAATGCTTTATATTAGATAGAGATGGGCAATCTTCAAGCCAAGGGGAAGAAAGAACCAAAGACATGGATCTTGCTCCAGCCAGAGCGTCTGTAGGGGTAGGGGTAGAAGGAGGAGACTTGGCAGGATGAATATTCCTTTTCCCCATTCCATCCTGAAATCAAGATGTCAACCTTGTTCCTGGGAGGTGCAAACCCATCCCCTAATCACTGGCTGAATCCTGTCCATTGAAATCCTCAGGGTGCAACCACCCACCATCCTGGATGCCGGAAGAAGTTAGGTCTTAACTACTCCCTTGTGTCCCCAGGTTCTCTGCTGTCGCCGAGGATGGTGGAGGTGGAGAAACCCTTAATGCTGGGAGCCAGGAAGCCGGGGTGTGAGCCTCAGGTCTGCCCCTGATGAGCAAGTCCCTTATCCTCAGTGGTCCAGGGCTGCTTCTGATGCGACACAACAGGCTTGGACCAGATGCTCTGTCAGTTAAGTCCCTTCCGGGGCTCGGATCAGTGGGACTTCATGGGGCTCCGGTCCCCTGACTGCTGGGCATGATGGCAGCTGGGACCAGGGTGGTGGTTGTGCAGAGACAGAGAGCAGTGCTTGGATTGGACACATATTGTAGAAGTAGAGTTGAGAGGATGGATTGGATATGGGGCAAGGAAGGAGGAAGCAGCCTGAGAAACCAGGAGAGTTGTGGTTCCATCTCCTGGGGTGGGCAGACAACGGGTGAACAGTTGGGTAAGGGTGGTGGCGGGTAGAGAATTAAATAGTTCTGTTTTGGCCGTGTTACATCTGAGATGCCAAATACATGCAAGAGGGCAGTTAGCAGGGCTTTGGATAGATGAATCTGGAGTTCATGGGAGAGGTCAAGGTTGGAGGTACAAACTGGAGGTCTATGGAACAGAGATATTCTTTAAAGCCATGGGACTGGATGAGGGCACATAAGGAGTGAGTTTAGACAGAGAAGAGGACAGGGTCCAGGATGGAGCTTGGGACCCTCCAGTGTCTAGAGGTTGAGCAGAGGTGGGTGATGGAGGCAGTAATGAAGAAGGGAGAGTTACAGGGTGGGGAGAGGGGAGGGAAGGGTGCGGGTGGACGGAACAGCAAGAAATGGGTATTGGATGGTCAAGTGCGAACTTAGCTTGAACTTAATAGCAGAGCTGTTTTTAAGATGAGGAGGAGAGAAGTGGTTTGGAAGCCACACTGAGGATCAAGGAAGACATCTCTTGCATTTACTTGTCTTAAAGTACAGGAGGTGGGAGAGAAAGGGCTGTCTCCATTGGGTGGGGCTGCGGGTGAAGAAGAGCCTTTAGGGGAGAGCCAAGCTTCAGTTCAGGCAAGACAGTGAAGATAACGCATTGAGAAGTTGCAAATATAGGAGAGTGTGTTGACAATATAAAATCCCAGCTGACTACAAATGAAACACAATGAATCTTAAAGTTATGAGGCATTATCCACTAAGTCCTGCTATGTGCAGTGGGTATCACTATTCCCATTTTACAGATGACAAAAAGGAGGCTCAGAGAGGTTTAGTGACTTACCCAAGGTCACACAGCCATTAATGACAGTACTAGGACTCAAATCCTAGTTCCTCTGACTAGAGAGCCCAAGCTCTTAAAAACTATACATATTTACCGCGCCAATATATTAAAAGGCCCAAATAGACATTATCTAGAGGAAATCATCTTAGCCTGCATCTAAACACAAAGAAAATAATTGACCAGATGAGGCACCTACCAACGTAGTTCATGATAAATCCCTGGCCCTTCCCAAAGATGAGGCCAGCAGGATCCGAGTGGAACTGGATGGTTAGGTCCGGCGTGGACGAGTACAGCTTCTGGGGGCCACTGTTCCCAAGGTACTGCCCCAAGATATGGGGCATGACCTCATCGCCGTCGTAGATGGTCAGGATGTCGCTGTTGCTCAGGTTCAGGCTTGGGGGGCAGAGAGAAGAGAAGGGGTCTTGTGAAGCAACGTCACGGGCATTCAATGAGCCTTTGATTTATTTTTTTGGGCAACACAAACCTTCTTGAGACATACCATGTGTCAGGCCCAGGCCAGGAACTGGGGGTGAGGTAGGCATAGATGGCAAATGTGACCAGGGCATGTTGACCCTTCCTGCACGCCTGGCACATAGATCTGTGGATGGTTTGGGCTTTTGAAGACTCATCTGTGAAATGGTCTTCCCTGCATGGAGCTCACTGCAGAGTCAAATGCTGCACTCTGAGTGGAATTGCCTTCAATACTCCCATCACCAACAACCGTTTCATGGGTGAAACTAAGTGTTGGGCACTGAGTTACATGCTGGGTGAGTGACATGGGTCTTTCATCCTTCTTTGATGCAGAACAAGCTGACTGCTTGCTAATTATAACTTGCATTTTTGTGTAAGTTGAAATGATCCTCCCATAGATCATGTGGCAAATTCCTCAAAATCAGCCAGGTTATCTATTATGTTTGGGGGTGGGATGGAGGCAACTTATTCATGAAATATGCTCAAATGTGCCATCACTATTCACAGCCTTAAAGGATGACACATTTTCAAAGACTCGAATGCAAGAGAGTATCTTGACACTAAATGTTTGAACGGCAACGTGCAGTTAATAATCCAGAAAGCACTTCAATATGCTGCAGAAATGTGTGCCATGTTAGGCGTGCTGGATAAAATTGATCTCTGATGGAAAGAATGTCAGATAATTCAGCTTCGGTTGCATCAATCACGGACAGATATTAACTCATGGCTCTTTCCTTCCTTTCTCCTTCTTCCCCTCTCTCTTCCTTCCTCTTCTCTCTTACCTCTGTCTCTTTTTCTTGTGTCCCTCTCCCTCATATTTTTGAGCACCTACCGTGTGGCAGGCACTGTGCTGTGCTCAGACGACAGGAGGAGTCACAGAGCAGTGGTATATTTAGACTAGTAAGCCAGGGATTGTGCTAGGAGTTATGATCAAGGTAAGTGCAGAGGAGGGCATCTAACTCAGAGGGGGCATCGTGGAAGCCTCCTTGGAGGAGGAGATGCTTGCTCAGGATCATCAAGAAAGAGCAGGGGACCCTGAGGCAGATAAGTCTGGGCTGTGGAGAAGGCAGGCTTCCAGAAGGAATCTGCCTGGTGGCCAGCGTGCCTGGTATTTGGTATAGACAGGGAAGCCTGGAGAGCTCTGCAGGAGCCAGACCGTGAAGGGCTTAGAGAGCCAAGTTTAGGTGTTTGGATGTCATCTTGCTGGGGACAGGAGACATTGGAGGGTTTTTAGCAGGAGCATCCTGACTGATAATTCACTGCCAGAGGAGAGGCATTCCAGGAAAGGGCCCTGAGCGAAGTTCCTGGAACAGATGCAGACTGACAACAGCCCTCCCCCACAGCTTCATCCAAGGCCTAAGCACGGTGTTGGCTGCTGGTCTGGGAGCCTGAGAAGGGGTGGTGCTTCAAGTATTAAGGACGAAACAACAGAAATGCAGGTGCTTTGCTGAAGATTTGCTCCCAGAGGGCAGGGGATGTATTTTATTCACCATAGTATCTTCCACAGCACCTCTCACAATTCCTTATATAAAGTTGTCCCAAGGGGTGGTTTAGGGAGACTCTAATAGCCCCTCAAATCTCCACTGGCTTCCCCTGAACCACCCCAAACACATTCTGCCCTGATAAAAGCTGTCTGTATGCTTTGCACACATTGTTTCATGACCAAGCCCCTAGGCACCTCCTACTCTCTGCCAGTTTTCAATTAGGCTACAGCCTCTAAACTCTTACGGTATTGAAATTCTGGAGTTGCCACCTTCTCTTGCACACAGTAGGTGCTCAATAAAGGCTATAGTATGAAAAAGCCAGCCAGAGAGTCTATTTGACAGCAGAAATAATGGGATTGATGTCAACTCTTGACCTATGGTAGGGAAGTGCCTCTTAGTTCTAATTACCGTGAAAACATCAATGGCTCATCAAAGCGCTGGATTAGGCTAGTGTGAAATGTGATGGTGGTAGATGGCAGACATCTATTCCTTAAGCCGACTTCACAGCAGACTCGCTGATAACAGTGGCTTCCAGACAGTGTACAGCTTGGCTTTATACTATCATCCATTTCAATGATCTAAAGGCAGTAGAAGCATCTTCAAGGGTGCAAATAGCCTTCATTTAAAACCCTAGCACAACTCTTTGTTCATTGTAAAATGGGAAGGAGCAGTCTTTCTGGAAATACTCCACTGTCTTGGAAATCAGAAAGCTTTGGTTTGATTCTTAGCTCTGACACTCATGGAGGGCATGTGGTTTTCCTGAAGTTCTTCTCTGTGAATCAGGCTTAATATTTCCAGTTCATGTCACAGGTTTTTGGAGTGAGGTAAGACACAGGAGATTTGGGATTGAATCGCAGGTTCACTGACAGCACCTGAGCAAGTTTGGTCAAGTCATTTGAATGTTATGTCATGTTGCAATGCCATTATGGACATATCACCATCACCATCATCACCATCATCATCACCATCACCATCATCATTAGCACCACCATTATCATCATCACCATCATCATCACCATCACTGCCATCACTATCATCATATCACCATCATAATCACTATCATCATCATCACCATCTTCATCCTCATCAACATCATCATCACCATTATCACCATCACCATCATCACCACCATCATCACCATCACCATCATCATCATCACCACGATTATCATCATCACCATCATCATCATCACCATCACCATCACCATCATAATCATCATCATCATCACCCTCACCATCATCACCACCATCACCACCATCATCATCACCATCATCATCATCATCACCATCATCATCATCATCACCACCATCATCATCATCACCATCACCACTATCACAACCATCATCATCATCACCATCCTCATCACCATCATCATCATCACCACCACCATCATCACCATCACCATCATCATCACCATCATCGTCACCATCACCACCATCATCACCTTCACCATCATCATCACCATCATCGTCACCATCACCACCACCATCATCATCACTGCCATCACTATCATCGTATCACCATCATCATCATCACCATCTTCATCATCATCAACATCATCATCACCATCATCATCATCATCATCATCATCATCATCATCATCATCATCATTCTCTCTTTGGATTGCTGTTTACATTAAGTGATATCAGATAACTTATGTCAGTGTTCTCAACTAGGGATGGTTTAGCCCCCCAGGAGATATTTGGCAATGTTTAGAGACATGCTTGACCCAACAAAGAGGGTGCTACTGAGTCGATGTCAGGGATCCTGTTAAACATCCTACAATGCATAAGATAGCCTCCCACAAGAAAGAAATATCCAAAATGTCAATATTGCTAAGATTGAGAAACCCTGGCTTTTGTGAATACATTTTGTAAACAATGTGCTAGAGACTATTAAATGCATCTTCTCCTGTTTGTTCTGGAATTTCAGCTGAGGTCCCTAAGCTAAGAACAAGCCAAGAGGTACTGAGCATTCCCACTTTCTGAAGGGATGCACTTGACCATTGACTGAGATTGGGTTCTCCAGAAGTAGAGCCTGAGCAAAGATGTGAGTGTTTCTTAGAGTCTGACTTATCTGGGAGGCCACGCCAGGAAGCACTGGTGGGCAAGTGAGACAGGAGGAAGGGAAGGACCCAATGCATGGTGCATCAGTGGGTGAGTTCCACTATGGGCACTGGGCTCAGTCCTGCAGGAACCATGAGATACGGTGTAGAACACACCTTAGGGGAGAGGGAACTGGGGTATTTATCCTCTGACTCCCATCCCTCTTCAGCTGAGGGCTGCTCCTATGTGTACCGAATCTCCAGCACTTCTGACCTGCCCGTGTGGCACCAGAGAAAGCCTCATGTCGAGAGCCTTGCAGTAGGAAGCCATCGTGGGTACATGGTGGCAAGTGCCACAGGGCTCGGATAGGGCACCAATGGCATCTGCTGCCACCATCTATGCAGCTCTTCCAATCTGAGCCTTTCGCCCACCTCTAGCTTACAGTAGGCAGAAAATTCACTGGGCAATTGAAGAGATTTGCAGGAAAGACTGACTCAAGAGAGAATATCACTATGGGAGGGGACCATGAGGAGGGACAAGGTGTATCACCCTCACCTTAAGCTTGGTGAGGAGGGCATCAAGCAAACTCTTGGTGGCTTGGCAGGTGTCTTGGGGTTTGGGGAACAGGGACTGCATCTGATGCTCACCCAGAGAAGAGCAATGATGAAAATCAGAGTGGAGCTGCTTGCCTGCCTGGGGGCTGAGCCAAGAGAGGAAAGAAAGGGGGTGTTGGGAGTGGGCTGCCCATCACTGATGAGAGTGGGGATACGACTCATGCTTCCTGGGTCTAATGTGAACCCTGAAGAAGGCAGCCACTGTGGGCCTCCTTAAAAGTGTTCCCATCCTGAACGGGTGACGGGATCCAGCAGAGGGGAAGTCAAGAGAAGCCCACTCAGCAGGCTTTGCCCGCATCGAGCACACATTTTCTGCCCACCTCAAGCATTCTATATCTTCCGCAACAAAACAGTACTGTCAAGTTAGACTTTCCTGTGAGAAAGAAGCAGCCCACCTGGCCCTTCCCCACTGCAGAGTTCCCAGCCTGAGGATGCCGGCTGAGGGAGAGGTGAAGCTTTAAAAGGAATACTGTTTACAGCTATATGATTATTAGACTGAACTGTACTTGTTATGACCAGAAGACCTATGAAAATTAAGTTTTCACCCTGAGAAGCAAATGAAATGGAGAACATGCACGAAGGAGAAAGAATATCTGCTATATCCTCCTGGATCCACCTTTTTGGTAGACTGGTTCCAATGATAAACACAAATGCTGGTCATTTATTCCCTTCCCCCAATCTGAAGACAAGCCTTCAGATTGTTCACATTGCCCATACAGCTGTATGTGACACGCGGAGTGCATTCAGGGTCTCTACTGCTGGGCCGTCCTCAGCAACCG